AAACCTTATAGTGAAAACAAGACCCACTACACAAGTGAGAAAGGCGAAGCAATTGCTCATAAGTCATCATGCTAAGACTTTCCTCAATGTGTATATAGCTTTTCATGATATTGATTAGCTGTTACCTCACATCACTAACCATTAAGGCATACGAAGAAAGGTATCGACAGATGAAATAAAAACCTCTCAAAATAGATAGAACAATTCTTCAGATTACTATAATATAGCAATGTTACTGATCTTAGTCTTCCCTGTCTGTATAACTGACCAGGATGGAACACACAACAGAAGTTGCAAGTCACCAAGAGGAAAGACAATATGAAAAATCCAATGAATAAAGAGATAATACACAACAGAATGGAGCACAAAAAAGATACTAGCCGCACAGATCAGATATATTACCAAAAAATACACCTGTGGCGATTACAGGCGCAATCAAAATGTACTCTGATACAATACTCCTGAGGCTTTAATCTCATTACACAACCTAGAAAATGGGAGAATTGAACACTAGCTACTGAACTACTAATACTGCCACCAAAACTAGGACACACCTGGGAAATAAAAAGTTCTGCGATCTCAATCATAGAATACTGAGTTCACCAAGTGAGACGTATAACATCTTATCTTGTTCATATGCCCCATTTATTTCTTCTAACAGATCAAGTATATACAAGATACACACGAAACGAAACTAGGCATACAACGCAGGTCAACCTGGGGTGGCTAGAAATTAAATATAGTCCCTCACAGAAGTATAATACACGGTAACAGAAGAGCAAGTAAATACGCGTCTCGTCATAGGCTTCTCCTATCCATTCGATCGATAACATAGTGTCGAGAAAGGCGCCACAACCTTGCTGTTCATTTATAATATTTGTTATAATACACTATTCACGAAGCAGATACTCTAGAGTATAATCCCACCTACCCATCCGACAACCATGAACCAATTATAACAATGAAATTGTCACAACCGCTTACATTCAATAAGTACTTGAATGGGAATGATCAAACTAGTAGAACAACGATTCACACCACGAGACAATGAGACACATAACCTCGTCCATCGCACCAAAGAGCGGTGGTCTTCCGGCTTTCAGCGAGAGAGCTATATCTCATACCCTTAGAATCCAGAATTATAACTCTCTCGAAGAGGGTTACATCACATCAGAAATACCTCCAAAGGGGCCCTTAAGATTTATTGGCCAATCCCTTGCTTTGGAGAAGATGGAAAGGGACTAAATGCCAATAGTGCTATAGCACTCCCTCCGAGCGTGCGTGATGTAGGCGAAGACAGTATGCTGTTCACCTAAGATAGACTTCTGGACTTTCCAGGAAAAGGTATAAAGAGTTAGAACTTGGATGTAAGTGATTCTAATCAACACAAAACTCTCTTTGCAGCTGTAAACTTTATCTGAAAACACTTCCTTTCAGAAATATTCTGATTATGACAGAAGTGAATGAAGGCTGAGAACTAATTTGTATGGAAAAATTTGTCCTCCTGTTATGGCACGGATTCCTATCTATGTATCTATTATATATGCCTACCATAGTTTCAGAAAGATAACAGATTTGATTGATTTGAAAAATATATTTTATTACCCAGCGAAAAAAATTTCTAGTTATTCACAAATTAAACTTTTGTTCTATTATTGACCAACTCCTTCCCATGTAATCACATCTATATGTTTTTCTGCTTTGTGGTTATTTTCACAAACTGTTATACAAAACAATGAGGAATTACATTCTTCACACGTGAGATAGTCAGTAGCCCCGCTGTGTCATATTTTTTAAAATTCTCTGTAAGAGAAAGCATTGATATGTTTAAATAACAATTTAGTTAAAACTTTGTTTTTAAAGTAGAAAAGTTAATTTTACTATTCTGAGGCAGGAAGCCAAATAAGGTATTTTTTAAAAATGTAATAGACTTTTTTTTTTTTCTTTAAATAAGCAGTTCTAGGTTCACAGCAAAGGACGTGGGACAGTATTGAGATTCCCACACC